GGGGAGCCAGGGCTAATTATGCAAGCAAGTGAGCGGGGGTGGGGGGACTGGGCACCCCTGGCAGGGGCTGCTTCTCTTCTCTTCCTCCAGGCACACCCTGGGTGGGGTCCCTGCTGGCCAGGGTGTGGGTTTAAATCCCTCCCCATTCATACTCAGCAGCCTGCCAGGGCCTGGCCCTGTGACCTCTTCCTCCAGCTTTCTGGCCACTGTAAAAGGAAGGAAGGGCTGGCTCTAGCATCTCCAGCTTCTAGCCTGAGCCACTGCAGGCATGTGCATTACCAGAATCTGCATTACCAGAATCAAAAGTGAATATCTATTCACTTGCTTATTGGTTCAACTAAACTGTAACAACTGAATCAATTCAGGCTCTGGCTTTTTGAATATATGTACTTAGCCTACGTGAGCTGCTGTTAATTATCTTGATGAAACATATGATGTGAAAACAACACTTTATTTACAGGAAAACTTTTTATTTACTCGTATTGTAGCCCAGGTACACCCAGAGGGTGTGCCCTGTCCTCTGATGACAGTGGTGGTGGTCAGGCAGGGTGCTGAGGAAGGGCTCAGCTACTAGAGCAGCTTCCTCCCCTCTCTATAGAGCTAGGCCAAAACCAAGTACTCTGCCCAAGCCCTGAAAAAGGTAAGCTTGCTACAATATAAATGGCTACTTAACAGGAGTGGTTTTCAAAATTCCTTAAGTCACGGGACCCTTTCATATAATTTCTGCTATCATGTAACCCCTACCCCTTGCTCCAAGGGTCATGTGAGCTGACATAGAGCCAGGTGACCTGGCCCAACAATTGCAGTGCATCACTTCCCAGCCTGCTCCACCATTACTCCCAGTCCCTCTGCAGAACCCCTGATGACCTATCATGGAAACCCAGGCTTCTGCAGAACACAGTTTGCAAACTGCTGACTTACAGTAAGGGACTAACAGTCTTTCTATTGCCCTTGCAATGACCTGGAGCTTAATTTTGTGTGATACAGGAAGTCCTTCTGGAAACACTGAGGGCTCCTATAGACGTGCAGCGAGGCTACTCCCATTTGTTGTAAATCCAACATTGAAATTAATGTGTTTCAGCAGCCTGCAGCATCATGTGTATCAGTGTACCTGTGCTGAAAAATGGTGGCGGGGCACTTTGAACTAAAGCTGGTCTGATAAGTTTTAGTTCAAAGCACCCCACCACCATTTTCCAGCATGGAGATGCTAATACGTGTGATGCTTGGACACTTTTAATTAGTGAGGCTTGCTAAATACGTCTATAAATACCCACAGTGTCCAAGAAGAATGGCATCCCAGGAGACAGTCTGCATGAGACAGCAGGAATTTCCCATCACACCAGCAAGTTCCCATTGCTTGCTCTCTCACCCAGACTGTCTCCTGGGAAGTCACACTTCTAAGAGACTGTATGTTCCCAGGAAAACTTACCCTATGCCCCACAGTCAGCCATGACTGAAAAAAATCTTTTTTTTTTTACATTCTGCCTTAAAGAAAAAAAAAGCCAACCAAAAAGCCCCCAAGGTGTGTGTTTTATTTGGGGAGAAATGCTGTATGTGAGAAAATATGGTACTTCAATTTGTATTCAATCCAATATGTATTTACTGCTCCATAGTTCTGTTTCATTCTTTCCACACAAGAATTTGAGGGGAAAAATCACACCTTTCCAAAAATCCTCAACCCTGGAGTGCCAGTTCTAATTTCCAGAGCTGTGGTCACTGAATTACAGAAGACACCATCCTCTACTATTAAATTTCACTTTCAGGCGCAAAAGTCCTATATGCCACATTACTTTGACACATGCAGGAACAACCTAGGGACTTCAAGGGAGTTTTGCCTCCAAATGCTGCCAGTGGATTTAGCCACAATTGGCTAATTTTAAATGACCCAGATTTAGCCTTTTGTTACTTTCTTGTTATTCTTTAGGGAAAGAGGAGCTAGCTGGAAATCACATTAGTCATCAAGGCCCCTGCTACAAGTTACATATATTATGCAATTAACTAGTCAATTGTGCAATAAAATTCAATTGGCCACACATGCCAAGCAATTATCTCATGAGAAAAATGACTATCCAGCTATGAAAAGAACCAACCAGCTATAAAGTTAGTGCTTGAAAATGTGTAACAACTCTAAAGCTAATTTCTATCTAGCTTTAATTAGAACATATAGCAGGGTCCCAAGAAACCATCAAAAGTAATTCTGGTTTTACTGCTTATACCAAGCTTCTCTTATGTGCTACTTTCTCAGTATTTTAAGCCCACTTTATGGCATATTGTCTGAAAAATTCTCTTATCAGAGAATTTTTGTCCCTTTTCTTATCACCTTCTGGGAGAAAAACAAAATTCTATTTTTTTATTTATTTCTGCCACTATTTTGGGTGCTTGAATTTCCTTTGATCAGTCCCAGTAATTTTTCTGCTAACTGCTGATCAGGTATGTATTATGAAAACTGCAAAAAGTAATAGGGTTTATAGCTGCCTGTCTGAAAAAAGCTGTGGTGTCAAAGAAGCTAATCCCATTCAATGAAAGCCCTGAGCCTATACAATTAATTTTTTCATGGGGTGCTTTCTTCTGGTCTCTATTCAGAAGGGGAAAAAAGCTAATTAAAACCCTTCGTTGATCACTTGTGTTAACATGTGACTATGTGAAAGTGCTGTATTAAGCACAGAGGAGTTTAAATCCACATAATTTTGTGCAGCTTGGGTAAGGTACACGGTGCAAATTCTAAAAAATAACTTATATTGAAATAAATGCTGGGGTTGGACAAAGTAGAGATGTTTAGCACTACAATTCTATTAAGGCTTTCTCACCACATGCTCAGGTGAAGAGATGTCAAAAACCGCATGTGGTATTTCACAACTGATATGCTGTAAACAAGCTACAACAGCAAGGATAGATTGTCAGCCTTTACTGTGCACTCTTCCTTTGGTTTTGTTTGCTTAGATTAGGTTATGAGTTTAAAGGTTATTTTTTGTGTTTAAAAAGAACTACCCCTCTGTGCCATAGCAAGTGCTTTGCATTCATGCAGGTATTGGGTATAATGGTGCAGTTTCCTTAGGCCAAACTGTTTAATAGACTTGGAGCAAAAAGACCAGGCAAACTTGATTTCACTCCATTCTGTCTTCCAGGGTTCAGGCACAGCAAGCAGAGATGTGCTAGATACACACAGGCAGGAGAACTCTGTCTATAGTTCTGAAAGGGCTCCAGTGTCCAGGCTGAGGGTCACTGCTCTGTATTATATAAATATGATCTTGCCAAGGAAGAAGAATTATGTAACTGCTAATGTGCTCACAGAGAAATCACAAAATGGAAGGCAAGGAAAGGGCACCACAGGTGCATTTTTAGCACTTTATTTTTTTATCTTAATGTACAAAGATCACCCCCAGCTTATATTCAGCTTTGTCTACTTAATACAGTCTGCATCTGTTATATCTCCTCCTAGGAGAGTGACTTAGAAGAATACACGTGACATTGTTTAGGTGGGTGCACCGAAGTGCAAATTGTGTCTAACAGGAAGTCCAATCTGAAGTGTGATATTTTTTGGTCTTTGAAACAGGAATCACATTCTCCTCTCCTTACATAAGAAACATACATTACTCATCTCAATATTTATATGACAGCCTTCCAAAGTCTTCAGAAATAATTTGTAGCAGTAAGCTGTAACTCTAAAATCACATCTCTGAGAGCCCATCCTGCACATTTTTATGCACATGCTAAATTTTAAGGCTATGGATAACCTCATTGAATTTAAATAGCAGTACTAGTGATGTTCCTAGAGTCCAACACACTAAGCAGGTGTCAGTTATATCCGTCCTGCAGAGTTGTGCAAAGGGGCCTTAAGTGTAGCTGGAGAGAAGAGCCTTAATAAGCTTTCACATTAGATATGTGGCCAGACCATGAGACTTTCGTGGGTTCCATGCTATAGAACTGCAAGGTCTGGGATCTGGCTTAGGGGCTTGGGGAGAAATTTTGAGAACGATTTTTCTCTTTGTTTAGTCAAGGTATATGTCTATTCAGCTAGTCTGTAGGTAAATGTAGGGAAAAAAGACAAAAAAGCCTCAGCTGAAGTAACTTAATAAAGCTGCAGTGCTGCAGCCTGCTGATTCAAGGCTCCAGTGTGATCCAGTGTTGCTGATAAATTGAAACCCATATTCATAGTAATTTTGTACAGGAAGAGTTAGGGCTGCCATCTTTCAACAGTTATTGCAGGACTGTGGCTGGGTATTGGGAGGATCACAGCATCTGATAAAGCAAGCCCTCCGCTTACAAAAGCTTATGCACCGGTATTAGGGCACAGTAAATTAATTAACTCCGCCATAAGATAGGACAGTCAGGTACAGTATTATATTATGGTGGAGTAATTAAGTGCAATGAGAAACACATGTAGATGGTGGGAGGGGCTGGTTGGGCACAAAGGTGCTAAAGTGCAAGGGCTGCCTGCCACCTAGCCACATGGCTCTGCAGGTTCTGCACCCTCCACCCCAGCCAGCTCCTCCTCTCTCCAGCTGCTGCTGCCTGGAGCCTGCTACCAGCCCAGGCTGCTGCACCCTGGCTCAAACTGCTGCTATCCCAGGTGCACATGTAGATGCTGTGCCAGAGAGCAGTTGCAAATAGCTCTGGAGTTTATTGTGTTGCGTTCATTGAACCTGTAGATATACCCTATAAGGTACAAGTCTACCCTGCCTTCTGCCTGACTAACATGCTAACTACCTCTCTTTGGGTATGAGGATTCAGGCTCATACACAGTGTGAAGATATTAAAAAAAAGATGATAATTCCCTAACACTAGTAGTGAACTTGCAACTTTATAATCAGAATCTGCAAAAAAAAATACAAGCGTGTAATACTTTTCAAGCAAAAAGCCCAAACACTTCAGTCTATTCAAGTCTGCACATGATTAAGTATTTGCAGGATCTAGCCCTCAGATACCAGAGCATGAGTATCCTTGTTCAGGACTAGGCTGTGAAGGATCCCAGTTAGCATTCTTATGAAACAGCAAGCTATTGAATGCCACTGGATCCATTACTGACCCTGTTCCTGTTTAGTTCAGTCAACATGTAGGATCATGCCAGCCTGTCGTTCTCACTAAATGTTCATGGCGATACTGAAGATAACATTACGGAGGGCTCTGTAGCATTTAAAATAGGAGAGGCAAATTTATAGAAAATACACACCTAAAGGGAATGAGAAAGACACTGGACACGATAGCCTGGGAGGCCCCTTCCAGATTTGTGTTCCTATTTCTAAAACATTGAAATGATCGTTCTTACCTCCCTTGTGGGGGTGTTGTAAGCTTCAGCTGAAGAGATTCAAGAATGTTCTCAGGTCTGCTTGAGTGCACAAGAGCAGAAGCAGCTCTGTTGTGGTGCACAGGGCAACATCAGCTGCTGGCCAGCTGGGAGCAGTAGTCCCACCCTCCCCACCCCAAAATCAGCAGCTGGGGTTCCTGCCCTGGTCCCCCTACCCCTTAGCTGTGCTACTGCCCAAAGGAAACAGGTACAGAAGGTCTTCTCTCTCACGCACCTCGGCACAGAGTCCAGGAACAGCAGTAATCCATGTTCCTCCTCAAAGCTTCCTTGAGCCCACTACCCTTGGCAGAGCTGTCTTCACAAGAACAGGTTTGGAAGGTGTATGCTGATGGATGTGCACACTGCATCCTATCAAAGGATGACACCATGGCTGCACTGCCTGGGCAGTCACCTACTGAGAACAAAGTGTACTACCTAATCAGGATGGCAGCATTTTACATCTGCTTCCCATTGGTATAAAAGGCTACACAGTGCAAGGCAATGGTAACTCAAAACCATTGTTTCTGCTGAAGTATAGGGAGGCTGATTTTTCTATTACACCAGTGTAACCACAATGCAAATTAATGGTGTAACTTCGATATATCAGAGGAGAGAAACAGGCACCCCATCAGCAGCCTTATTAAGATGACATATCCCCAATTAGAGGTTCTGGCTTTAAGCACCAGGTTTGTCCTTAATAGGTGCAGAGTGTTTTGAGACCCTCAGAGAGACAGTACTATAGAAATATTACTATTGTTATTACAGTCAGATTATACAGCTTTGCAACCATGGTGACTATTTGATACTCCCTTTTCAAGATTGCGAGGCTTCATCATGACTTCAAATAAAGAAAATAATAGGGGTCTAATCCTTAACTTTTCTCCTTTTGCATATTCTTCTCTCATATGAGTGATCCTTTTGACTAAAGGCATGTTTGAATTTCATGATCAAGCCATAGCTGCGCATTAAAGGGTAATCTTAAAGCACAAGCATGGGATGATTATAGTGTTCCTTTTAAATCATAAATAATTACTTGTCATTTTTGGTAAAACCTCCTGACTCACTTCTTAAATGACCCAATCCTTTTTCTTCAAACATGGTTTCCGTCATTCTTCCAGGAGAGAATACAAAAATATTCAATATTAACACTGACATTATGTACACTGAATATATACATATAATGGATGCTTCTCGCATTCTGGGTTTCTAATTATTTTAAAGAAAAGCATAATACTAAAAAAAACAAACTGTGCCTTTATGAGCACGTGTTTGTGTACACCAATGAACAAATCTTCTCTGCATATTTCTATTCTGTAAACAAAGCCTTTCAACTATCAAATGCTAATTATTTACTTGTAAAAGGGCCTAATTTTTCAGAAGTGACTAATGATCTTCAGTGTTTCAATTTCTGGCTGGCCAATTTGACACAATTAACAAGTTCTCTGTTTTTAACAGTGTGCTTGAGACCTTCAGGCAGACAGGACCATTATTTCAAATTGGGCACTTAAAAACTGAGGCATTAAGAACACCGCTAACTTATTTCAGCTTATCTGGGTTACATGGAGATCTTGACTACAAAACATAGAAAATATTTAGCTTTTGAACAGTTCAGTCATTTTAATATAGCAATAAATATTCCCTCTCTCATTTTTTTTTAACCCTAACCATACTCCTCACACAAGTAAAAACATTCATGTATCTATCTGTTACAGGATCAGGCTCTAGAGAAGGAAGCAAGAATGTTAGACAAGGTAGCTAGTTCTTAATTTCTCCATGCCTTTTGTTACGTCCTCAGGAAAAATTAAGCAGAAAACTTTTTCAAAGACTGAAAAATAATGACACTTCTGTTAACTAAAGAGACATAGTAAATGTATTATCTAGTTGTTCTTTATGATTTCTTTTCCTTTGATTCAAACACTTATTTGGGAAAAAAGATGTTGGAAGAGAAAAGCTGTGCAAAAAGGAAGGTTCTTTAAAAACAATAATGATCACTGATCAAATTGAAACTGAAGCATTAAGTCAAACTGTCTGATATATTTGATACCATATCTTCCTTTATTGCATACATTTTTAACCACAGATGACAGGATTTTAGAGCCAAATAGCAAAGGAGAGTTTATCCTATTTGGAGTTCAATAGATGACTAGTATGATATGAACCTGGGAATAAAGCACAGGTCAAAGCTGCTGTTTTCCAGATTCTTCTCCTTTAATTCTTTCAAAAAGGCAGTTTTACTCAAAGAAAATTATACACCATGAGCTGAATCTTATTCATATATTAGAATTACTTACAGCTATTTCTGCTGAGTTTAACTGAACTACTTGCATAAATAAGTGCTTACAGATATTTCTATAGTAAGATCATTCTCTAGTGTCATTATCTACAGGGTTGATTCTTTCTATAGAAAGACGCAGATATCTTAGATAACTTTGTATACACATAAAAGACAAACTTCCTAAAGATTTTATCATTTCACTGCCACGATAAAACTACAGATCTACCAACTTCCCATCAGGCAAGGAGAATTAACAGCAGCGAAATAAGTTGTGCTACAAAATAAATTGCTCGTTGCCTAAATATGCAAGATGTTAACTGCTACTCTTCTAGTCACAGCAGTGCACGTTTCTGAAAGACAAAAGACTAGACAAAAAGACTTACGTTTCTAGGTTCTGTCTGTGAAGTTCGTTACTGCATGGCTTTCTGCTTTGTATACCTTATCTACTCAGTGATGCTTAGCTGCTGTTTGACGGGCTGGTTAATCTACAAGGCTGAGTGGAATGTGTGGTCTTGCACTTGCTGTTCTTTTATGTTTTCCAGAGGCCAACAACCCATGCTGTTCCCATGACAACCAGGAGAGCAGCCCAAAGCCTACCAATTTCATTAATAACCCAGCAGGATAAGTACCTGTCTTTATTAGCTCTGTTCATACCCCTGATTGGTAGCATTATCCTGATCTTGAAAGTGTTCCCCACAAACAAACAAAAAGTCATGCTACAGCTATAATATATGAAAAGACAAGCATGGTGTCCTGAACCCTAGTCATGGCAGTCTATGAAAGCAGACATTGTGCATCAGCGCATGAAAATTCACTTTTAAATATTTAGGGCTAAATTAAGGTTGCCCTGAGCAGCTGCTCTGGGAAGATGGAGAGCAGAGGCATGCAACTGTCCCATGCAAAAACTGCCAGCGCTGGGAGACCAATTAAAGGGAGATTGCCGGGCTTCTACATGTGTGGTAGATGAGATCAGCACTGGCAGTACTGCACTTAACCAGAGGCACCTTCAAATCAGCATCCTGCAGTCCCCTGGTTTCTGCTATGCTCTGCTTGTTTAAAGTGGAAAGTTAGTGACACCCAGGAATGCCAGTCCCAGAAGAGCCCTAACTGGCTATCTGGAGCTAGTAAGGACAAGCTGAAGATTTCCAGCTGAACTTCCACTCATTTCTTAGGCATAATGCATTTGGTTCAACCCTGCTCTGGTGCTACAGCTGTTGCCTGTCAGATCCAGAACACCAAGTAACACTACAAACCTCTGTCATGTGCTCAACATCATCGTTTCTCAACCCATGGGTCGTGACCCAAAAGTGGCTTGCACGAATATATGAAAGTAGGGTATAGTCTGCTTTTCTGCTACTCTGTCCTCTATTGATACAAAACCCAATGCCTTTATGTCCTCCATTGAAAAACAGAGGACATATTGAAAAATAGAAGACATAAAGGCGTTGGGTTTCGTATCAATAGAGGACAGAGGACAACTGGACTGTCTTCTATGATGGCTACCCTATATGAAAGTGTTGCAAGCAAATTTTAAAAATAGATCAACAAACTTTAAAAATGGATTCTCCTTTAAAGGGGAAAAATATGGTTAACCATGCCTTTTCCTTTGTAGGCTGGTAGAGCTCTAGCCTACAAGGGGCTGCTTGGGGCCCCTCCATGCCCTACCCACACCCCTGCTGCCCCACACCCCCATGCCCTTCCCCACACACTGGAGGGCTGGGGCCTAGGGGCAAGGGCAGTGGGTCAGGAGTAAGGGGCACTAGGTTGAGACTGGCCATTAATGTTTATAAATGAGTACTGGTACAACAAAGGTTGAGAACCACTGCGCTATATCATGGCTACCCACATAAGAATAACCACCTGGAAAACTACTTGAACGTTATGCTTATCACCTTGAATCATCAACGACACCAATAGTAAGGGTTTGAAAGACCATACATATGACGGCCTGAACTCACTGTTTCTTATGCCATAGTTGAAAGAATTCCTCTGAAATCTGAGTTGCTGAACAAGAAGTAAAATACCCTGATGGGGCTCTAGTATGGAATAGATAGTAAACAGAGGTACAATGATCATAAATAAATAAATAAAATTTAGAAGTGAAGGGTATGAAATGATTACTTTAGCAAAACTCTCTTGTAAATGGATGGGCATGTTACCAGAGGGAGGCCCAGGGCATCTTTATCAAAGTCAGGATGCAGCAGTAAGTTCTTTTTTATGATGTGTATTGCCAGTGGGAGCTGTGCAAATGGGATAAATATAGATGAACCAAGAGAGAGTCAAACTGCAGATTTGATGAGGAGAATTTTGTCTGTGGATCTGAGAGTTGGGGAGGTAGTTTGTTTTGTCTCCGCTCTTGAGAAACTCAGAGGTTCTCCTATACTCACCTTGAACGTAACAATTTGCCTTTTGTTTTTTGCAACTCAGGATTTCATTTTAAGGCCTGGACCCACATACTGATCATTTTGTTTTAGAAAGCAAGATTTTAAAAAGATGTTTGCTACAATGTGCTTCTTGCAGTAGGTATGCAATATATACCAGGCAAACTTTAAGAGGGAATATGAAGAGCTTCTTTACAATGTTTATTTATTTTTAACAGAATCTAATTAGTTAAATTTTGCTCTTACAATGAATTACAAGCAATTCAGTGATGATTTTGGTCCTGTACAGGTACTACACTTCCATTACCAGGTTAATGGTTACCAGGTAAACTATACTTTAGAACCACTGTTTCATTCTTGGCTAGGGACATAAATTACGCATAAACTGGCATAAGTGATCAGAAACCAGTGCAGATCTGTAACACAACAGAAGTTCAGTGCACATAAACCACTTTCAGAACAGTCAAAACTGGTTTCAGATAAACCTAGATGGATGTAGTATCTGATTAGGCTAAATCAGTTTGTTGAATTTCTGCCCCAGATCCCCTCAAGATTCAAATTAACTCAGACACCCCCCCAGCATCCCAGGATGCTTTGTAACTCCTCACAATCCCCAACCTCCTGTCAGGTGGGCAGGCTAGACTTGGCCCAAATTATCTGCTCCAGCTGAGCAGGGAGGTGTGCTCTAGTGCCCCTCAGCTTCTGCCCTGGGCCACTGCAGGCATGTGGCTGCATTTCTGGAATCAAAAGTGAATGTCTATTCACTTGCTTATCAGTTCAATCTATGCAGTTTAGACTAAACTTTAAAGATTGAGTCTATTCAACCTTGGGCTTTTTGACTGTCCATGCTTAGCCCTTGATGGTACCCTTTGAAGTCAAGCCTAACTCTTGTCATCCCTCTGCAGGCAGAACCATATTTCACAAATTCTGAGACTGGATCTCTTGATGGCCGCCCCCAGTTTCCCAACTATGGTAATGCAACAGGCCTACCTGGGCTTTACACTTGAAAGCCCTTTTATTCTCTTCCAGGATCTGTAACAAGTGAGATGAATCTACTGTTGTTTCTTATCTGTGGATTGTTTATCATTCAGAGCCTTTCTGGATAGGGCGGGGTATAAAATCATCATCATATGATGACACTCAGAACAGCCTCTTCAGAACTACACAGCATTTAGTCAGTCCCCCAGAGGTTCAAACATACTGAGCAAAGGGTAAAATCAGCAAAGGTGTTTGCACGTTTTCCATTATTTTCCTTGCAAACATTGGCACATCTCAGCTAACTCAGTTACCTCCCTATCTGGCTTTGGGCAAGGAGACTGCCTTGCTGATGTTTCTCTGCCCTTGCCTGCCTGTTAGCTCTCACTGAAAGTCCTGGTCACATAACCCCCTCAATTTTCTAATCCCAGGATGCTTTAATACCCTCCTTTAGCCTGGGATGAGTTTAAGGAAGACTACTGCATTCTAGCTCAAATGGAGCCAGTTGGCTTCACCCTTCGCACTCAATAGCTTCAGATATTGCACCCTCACCCATGAGACTTGTTGCCAGCATGCCTGGTGTTGCAATCACATTTTTTAGTTTTTTCCCCAATGTTTTTCTCTTCCCAAGTGCTCTTTGCAAAACCCATACATTCAGCAGTAGAAACTGAGTGACTCTACAGGGCAAATTGTTAAATTAGCTGTAAACAATGTGTAGTGATAGCGAATTCATAAAGTAAACTAACTTAAAAAGAAAAAACACATCAAATCCTTTTTAGCTATAGTAATGTTAAGTCTTGTCTACATGCCAGAGGTTGTAACTGTTTCACATAATTCCATTTTTAAAAACAATTAAGTCAGATCAATGAAAAACCATACTCCTGAGCAATTTAACCTATACCCAAACCCAAATAAACTTAGTATAAACTGAAATATGAAGGCTTATGCATTCATACTGAGGTGAAGGTTCATGCTTTAAGTTAAACTCTGAATTAGTGAAGTCATTAGTGTTACACATAACAAAAGCAAAATCAATTTGAACAGCAACATGCTATTGAAGTTGACAATGTCTATCTAATTAAAAACATCTTAAATGAAACTATGTCATGCAATGGCCACTTGGCCTTCAAGTCTAGAAAGAGATTCTTTTTCTGTGACTTGTAGAAAAAAATACCCTTCTAGAAACTGGTATAGCAAATTCTACTTTTACTATATCATGAACATCTTGATTAATTAGAATTTCTTGTTCCTAAGAAAGAGTCTGTCTGTAGTGATTTGTTTTCAAGAAAATGATAATTACATGCTAGATCATCATTTATCAGCACATTGTTGAGCTGCCCTAAGATCAAACAGGGAGGCAATATGTGACTCAGGCGCTGTCCCTCTGCCAGTTTCCCTCTGGTTCAGGCCCATCCCAAGCACAGTACATATCCAGGCACTTAACCTAATTTGACTAAGGTATATACAAGCATATTTCCAATTAAATGTCTAAAAGTACAAATATTGTAAATTGCCATTCAAATAATTAAAGACTGATTTAAATTCAGGATTCTGTACATTTCTGCATGGTTACTGTTTGTGGCTGATTTCAGGCAGGGAGCATTTAAAGAAGTGTACACAATAGCTTTTCAATTTATGCAAGTTAGTACAGCAAAGGCTCTGGTGTGCAAAGAAGCCACTACTACAGCCTGATCCCTTATTTTATACAGCCACTCATAAGTAATGGACAAGGTTTTAGATGCAAGTTATCTAGAAAACTGGCATCACAATTATTATTGGTATGTATTTGCATTGTGATAGCTCCAAGAGGCTTGAGTCGGAGCCTGGAGAGCATTTGTTTCTCAAGTCCGCATCTGCATTGTTCAGTAGGCTGTTCATTTGGATCTTTATGCAAATGTTTTCTCTCTGTCCTCACCCCTAACACAATCATGCAGACTACTAAATGTCATGCTAGCATCTGGATAACATTGACTTAGTATCCTCATCTATTAGAGCACTGCTAGTCAAGAAACCACTTTCAAGTAGGTAAATGTCAGTTCATTTAGTCCCGCACCATTAATCCCAATATCTGGTTCGAGATACCATGTGTTTGGCTCAGGTTATTACAGAATCTTGGCTTTTAAATGATAATGGTCAAGCCAAAGGGCTCAGATGTGGCTG